GCTAACAAATCAATGAAGCTCTTAGAACCTATTTTATTCATTGTTCATAAAAAGAGAACCTCTTTTATTCATTTATTATTGTTTCCATCTTAAAAAAAAAAAAAAATTCACTTAGTATTTCAATACACAAACTTGCAAAATGAAACGAACGATCAATGAATCGCTTTGGCGAAATCACTTGAACTAGGGATTCAAGGAATACCCTTCTTATAAATAAAATAAAAATGAAAAATGAAAAATGAAACCAAGCAGAAAACGGGCCAAAAAAATCAAGCCCAAAAGATTTGGTGCCCCCAACTGTTTTGGCAACTTTGGCCCTAAACAATAGAAGTCCCTTCTCTTTTTGGCCATAGCAATAAAAGTCCCTTAATTATTTTCTCTCCTTTTCCTTATTCCTTCAATTTAATCAATTATGTAGGGGGGAAATTGTTGATTTCCTGTCTAAATATCTTTCTATTTTCATGCTAAGATATAAATGCTTAATCGATGGTAGTTTTAAAAAAAGGGAAGAAAGTTTAGAGTGAAGTTAACTCCATTTCAACCATAATTAGAGTCCTATATATTGCAATCATCTAAATAGTCTAGACTCCACAATCCATCTTCAAGAAATGTGTGTTTTGGTCATTTGAGTAATATTAAAGATCATTTATAAGCTTAGCCACAAAAAGTTTAACTTTTGAATACTCTTATATACATTTTTCAATCTTATAAATCTTGTAAAAGATAATTGAGAAATGCATGTCTCAAATATTTTGACAAAATATTTAAGGTTCTAAATGTAAAACATTCACATAAATCAATTGTAAATGAAGCAGCGGAGTCTCACGTTGCAAAATCTAGCCTATTTTTGCCCTATTTTGGTCTTAAAGCCACCCAAGAAATGATATCTTCCATGCCCGCATTGCTTGCTTAACCATCACCCTCAATCTAAGTTTCTTACCATTATCTCTATCAATTTCTTCAAGCCAGGTGCAATAACATAGCTAGTTAGGTTCTCAATTCTCATCAACGTGTGTCTATCATTTGTTGAATACTAATTACATATTGATGCAACATTAAGAATTTCCATTGAAATGAGGTAAAAAGATATTGAGAACATTAAAACTGAATACCTTTTTTGTCACTATGAGAAAATCATGTGCGACTGATTTAATATGAAGGGGTTTTGGTGCAAATTACATCACAAAATTCATAATCATAATCATAGTCACAACTAAGGGAGCAGGGATGTAACTCAATGTCAAGCCACAAGCATGTTTCAAGTAAGTGGTTTCTTCTAAGAGTGAAGGAGAGAGCAGTGCTACTTGGATATCTTAATTTACCTATTTGGGTGTTTTCATTTTGTAAATGGTTGATAGTTTTTGTTGTGATATCATAAAAGTACATCAAAGGAATTTTAAGGTAAATTCAATATCTATATCAGACCATCTAATGCTTTCCACCTTATTTGATGTTCACACTTTTCTTTTTATTTCAAGCCTATTAACATTATTTCCTTTAAGTTGGATCAATATCGAATTGTAAAATACCAACTATCAAATTAAAAGGGGCTACCTTGCCTCTAAAATTAGGAATTTACGTTGATATAATAATTAGTGTTTTGTACACCAATATAGTTTAAAATGCAAAACACTTTTTTAGTTTTTTTATAAATAATATATAAATAAAAAACAATTGTGTAGTTTGAATTGCATCACTTAAACTATTGTAAATATTTTAAAAATCACTTATTATTCCAACACACGACCTTGCAAATTGAAACCATGGATTAATGAATCCCAAAGGGAAACTATGTAAACTTGGGATAAAAGCTAACATTCAGGTTACCACAAAAAGGTAGCATCAACATTATCATCATTGCAATACAAGCAAGGATGCTGCTCGAACCATTATGCCTGTAAAACCTTCTTAGCCATCATCACAACTTCCTTGTTGCTCAACAAACCCAAGTTCTCCTTCAGCACCATTTGCATCGCATTGCTAAACGCTCCAGATGCCTTCCTTCCGCCCTCACTCTCACTCATGTCTACAGACGTCTCATTTGCTTGGAACCCACTTAGCAAAATGCTTTTATCCAGTTTGGAGGACATTGAATCCAATTTGTTCTAGGGAAGACGAAATTTGAGGCTAGCATTAGCACGAAAGGATTCTAAAAAGTGAATGTTGATGTTTGAGGTGTTGATGCTTGTGAGTGAAGACAAGTGTCGTAGTACATACTTGAAGGGAATGGTTTTGGACTTGTAAGATAATGGTTGTTTTTCATTCTTTGTGATAGAAGATGGTCCAATTTGTTCCTTCTCCTTGTCAATGAGACATTCATTGTGACACGAATCCAAAAGGATCATGAAGCTTAAGCCTTCGGATAGATGGTTAACCAGTTGTCTCAAGTCAAGATCTGCATATAAGAGCTTAGTTGACTTAGTTCTCAAGAATTCTAACTAATGTAATAACAAAGCAGTTAATTTCTAGATGTACTAATGCAAAATTAGACAATTAGAGCTTACCAATGATTAGACTGAAGTCATGAGCACAATTACCTCATCTTGTTTGAAGGGATGGCCATGTTTCATGGAAGGAATCCTAGTTCCATGGCCATTATAGTGGAAAAACAAGATATCCCTTGCTTTAGCCTTATACACTATCCGGTCAAGTGCCGCCTTGATGTTTGCACCAGTAGGCATAATCGGGGACCCTGGTGCATCAATCAGGTGCTTGATATGAGCATCATCAAACCCAAAACTTTTCACCAAGACATTTTTCATAGCGAGCATGCCATTGATGCATCCATGCAGCTTGTTCTTGGTGTTGGGGTAATTGTAGCTCACCAGAGTAGCTAGTCTCTTCTTAGCTTCTCCATTTCCTCAAAATTAGTGCTCTGATACCTTTCAGATCTTTTATTCATATAGGTAAGGAGATGACTTGAGAAATGGTTCAAGAAATTGCCCTATTAGGTTCAGTTTGCCTTTCAAGTATAGGAAAATTAGTTCTTCTTTCTTTAACATGACAAGAAAGGCTTTTTAATTTTTTAATTTTTTAATTTTTATGCAGAATATGGTAGGCTTCGGCTTCCAACATGGTTGTGCATTAATATATAGAAGAAGTGCACATGGTTGTTCAACAAACCTTTATGTTACACCTGCTTCAATTGTGTTTATCAAACAAAAGCAGTTTTTTTAATTAGATAGACAACATGAGAAGCTCTCTCCTTGTAATATGTGTGAGTGAATCAAGAAATCCCCAAACATGTCTCCATATTTTATGGATGGGATTTTCCTAAAAGTTCATTCACCTTAACATGATAAAGATCGGTTATTTAAGGCTCCAACAAACAAGAAAATGTTGTAAAACTTTAAAGCAATTGAATTAATCATCAAATAATAAGGGACTTCATTCATATTAAGCACAAGCCAAGGATTGTTCAGATATGAAGATAAAAGAAGATGAGCGATTAGAAGCTAGGTTGTTTAACATCCTAACAACTAGTACCATACACAACAAAATTTCAAGATAGTCTAGAAAATCATATTCGTAGATTGAAAATGATCAAAATGATCCATTTCATTAGCTTCTTCTGTTACACTACCAACACAATTCATGTTGTGTATTTGTCAAAAAACTTAAGAAAGAACTTACAAATAAACAGATAATAAATGAATGAATGGATGCTGATAATTGAATGACTATCATAAAATTTTGATTGCATATATACTACATGTCTGATTTTGTAATCTCTAGTATTACAATCAATAATAGAATAATTAACATGATTTTGATTTGAAGTTGTAAAAGGCAGGTAGAGGCATAGATTGAGCAATGACACTTAAAGATCTTTCCAGACATTGAAATCAGTACTTGAACTGTTATAGTTAATTGTCATATCTTGGCATCCAATAAAGAATGTACTATGAAGGGGATCAATATTTACTAGGGCATGTGCTGTTCCTTCGGTACTCGCTGCAACAGCAACCTCATCCTAATCAATGATTGCTTTAGCATAACCTTTATTAGCTATCTGATGGTTTTCCAACTGTAATTTACTCAACATAAATATGGATATTAGCTACACTTGAGCCATTTTCATTCCTAAATTAGTATCTATGCTATTTTCTATTCAATTACTTAAGCTGTCTTCTCTCACACTACATGACAAAATAATAGTGTCTGGCCGGTGTACCAACAATTGACATTACCACTAATATAATTAAAACTCTATATAAATGCATAAGATGTCCTTTGCAATTTCTATCTATACCATTGCATCATATCAAGTTAATGGAGCACAAGAGATGAAGTATTGCACAAGAGAAATCAAAGTTGCAGAACTTCACATGTTATACATCCATGCATTATAGTTTTGTTTTCCTTTTGTCCTAAAAGAAGTTTGTCTTTACTTTATAATGGAATATTTTAGAGGTGTACAATTGAACCAAAATCTGATTGTAGTAGCAACCAACTTCACCATATGTATTGGTGCATGTATGCACGAAGTTAAATAAATTTAACAGAATGGAAAGGTACTTGGGATCCAATGAAAAGTTGAATATCTCTGATTCTTAATGCTTTGATTAGCAAGAGTTTTACCTTTATTACTTACAAGTAAAGTTAAACAAATTTTTATAATAGAAATGAATTAACCTGATAGCAATAATTGTACACCAAACTATTTCAATCTCTAAATCCAAAGGAAAATTTTGAAAGAAAATTTGACAGGAAAAGAAAATCATGTTTTGGAAATAGTACCATCATTCTTGTTAATCATGCATTGCCCAATCTGATCTACCATAAAATGATGAAACAACATATGGATTTTTAAAATTCACTAAGTGGAGGTTACAATTGAGAAGATCAAATCAAATCTCTCAAGAGAAAAACTTTACATTAATAAGAAGGAAGCATACCTTGAATTTTGTTTTAACTCCCCAAATGACAAATGTCTCATTACAAGTATAGTGTCTATGGTTTCCTCTCACACCACTTGGTTGAATTTCACCAAGAAGTACTGATGCACAAGACACAACACCACCTGTAGGAGAATGCAATCTTCTTCAAGAGGGGCAAAATGAATAAGGAGACTAAAAAGCATAGTCAAGGACTCAAAATGAAAAAGGAATATATATTGCCTATGGTTTAATATCAAAGAATGAAGGCTCCAACCTCCACTCAAAGAGAGCCTGGTCACAAGTAAAAGAGAAAAGGCTATATTTTAAAAGGCTACATTCCTTTCATACTATACTTTGACTTGTATTTGATAATTGATATAGAACTTTATGAAGGAAACATATTTTTTTAACTTTTATGGAAACAATTTCTAGAAGTTAAAATTCTGAACTCATCATCACGGCAAACAACCTAAACTTTCAATATCAAGGGCGACCAATTGCGAATTCCAGTACCCAAAGGCTAAACCATTCAATCATATGAAGCCTAATGGCAATTCAAGCCATTCTTCCCCAAAAAATATGCCTCAGAAATCATTATGACCATGCAAACTAACAAAGTTAAAAATGTCAACTTGATGCGTACAAGAGTACACATGGCTATATAACCAGTTAAATAAACACCACGATCCAATCTTCACACATTTAATTTCTTATAATCCGAAGGCAATCTAAATAAATCTTAGCCCATTTTTGCAAGTATGATCTCTTATTTCTTTCACAAATCCAAAGCAACTAAACTAGCTCAATTCAACCTCAGGATTAGAGGTTCTAATTCCCAGTTTCTCTAATCATTACAATCGCCTTAAAAGAATCCAATGCATATAAAAATTATCATAATGGTTAAGGAGATTCCACCCTTGGGCATTTGAAGACAATAAGAACCAAAAGCACATATTTTGAATAAAATCATAGCATAGACATATAGGAAGGACATTGAGGCATTGAAGAATTGGCCACACAAATTTTATACATACAAGTTAGAGGCACAGAGACAGATATGAACCTTTAACACCAAAATTAAGCGCAAGAGTTATGGGATTAAGCAACCACCCATGCTTGTCCTTGGTAATGGAATAAGGGAACCCAACTTTGAATCTAACAAGAATAGCCTTATGATCATCGTCTTGGCTCCATTTCTCATGGGTACTCAGGAAACCATGAAAAGGAGAATATGGCTGCAATCTGAGGAAGACCAATGTCAACAAAAGAAGCCTTAAGAGCAAGAAAGGGAAGGCCTAGGGCTTCATCAAGAAATGGGTAAGAGATGAGAGTGAAGACGTGGTTTGAGTCTGAAATGGGCTTTCGTTGGAGTATGAATTTCTTCTAAGGTTCGCCATTATCTGCTTGCATTCACATTCTCTTTGCTGGTCCTGCGAGCTCTGCTTTGATATTCCATGTCTAACACCTGCTTATTTTTGGAATTACATTCTCTTATTTTCCTTTATATTTATTACTTCTATTTGTTGGAAATTAAGAAAGTAAATTGGGTAATAAATTGTCTATTAATTTATTTTGTTTTCAAACAAGGACAAAGAAAATGTGGGGATGTTGAGGGCTAGGTGTTTAAAATATGACCCTATTTGTTACTTACATTTATTGGAAATTAAGAAAGCAAATTAGGTAATAAATTGTCTATTAATTTATTTTGTTTTCAAACAAGGACAAAGATAGTGTAGGGATGTTGAGAGCTAGGTGTTTAAAATATGTTTACAAACTTTAAATGGATAAGTCTCAGGAGTCTCAAGTGGTAATGAGTTTGAAACTTTAAATTAGAGATTTTATATTTG